CGACCCTAAATAGTTAAAACAAAAATGAATTAATCCAATAGTTATCGCATCTACAATAATGGATGGAATATTATTACATGTGCAAACGTGGAGTTCATCGACTCGTCTATAATGGTTTATTATTGAATGGTGATAATATCATATGTTTACGATGAATAAATATCGAGATCGAGAGAGAGAGAGATAGATTATTGCCACTCTCTCCAGAGTAGAGGATTAAAAGTCAAAAATTAGGTGAAGAAAAACAAAGGCAAGAAAATGGATTCCCCTGTAATTGACTCCCCCCCTCCCCCCCTCTATGGTTAGTTTGTTTCTATGCACTTTGTCACATCCTATTGTCCATATATATGATGCTATCAAAGCCAAAAGCCTTCTAATTATGATAATAATGACTCTGATTAAAAAAACCAAACGAGGAGACATGATATTATCCCAAGTAGATCATAATCATGCGACCACATGGAGCGGATCTCCGTGCACAAGGGATATAAAGACATCTTTTTGTTAATTCTTTAAGGAAAAAGCTTCCTATTGCGGAATCAATGCTCAATCCAATAGATATAGGTGATTTTTACCAGATCCATGTGCATTAGGTAGAAATTTTATCTCGATGTTCTTTCAAAAAATGTGTCCATTCAATATACTTGTGTCATTTCATACTCGTTTAACAATAATTTTGTTCGTACCAAATCTATTCATTCAATGTTGGTAGTTCCCTCTATTTGGGTATACATTTGCATTTCCCTTTACTCAAATCCATGAACAAGGGTGTTTCTGTTTATCTGCCATTATTATTATTATTATTATTTTGCGTTTTTGATCGATTTGCAGTGTGAAAAGCTTCTTTGGGGTTTGTATTGAAGAAGGTTGGCAGGGTTCGATTCTATAGATGAATGGATGCTAAGTTCGAGCATGAACCTATAAGCATGCGCAAAAATTATAGTTTAGTGATTGAACTCTAGCTGACTATGAACACCCCCACATTGAGTCGAATCTAAGNTGCTTGAGCCCGAATTGGAGCTTGTAGTGAAAAATGAGTTGAATCGAGCCATGCTCGAACATCTCACATTCTAGGCTAGCCAAGCATGAGCAAAAATTATATTTTAGTGATTGAACTCTAGCTGACTATGAACACCCCCACATTGAGTCGAATCTAAGCATACTTGAGCTTGAGAGACTCGATTCAACTAACACTCCTACAGAATCTAGATCTAACATATGGGTATGCAAAAATTCACCATCAGTCGATTATATAACTCACTTTACAAAGTGAGACTGATCTAGGAGGAAGAAGAAAGAGGAAGCTCTGAAAGCCAATGTCCAACAATTCATGCGTATTTTCACTTGCTCGGTCCAAAATCATATTTTCCGCTGTAAACTCTTAATTTGCTTAGTCTCAAATATAGGATAGTTAAAGCCGATTGTGGGACGTAGTAGACTAATTAGCCGTCATGTGATCATGATACAAATGCATAGCTTCGCCTTCGCCAACGCTGAATAACCCACAAAAGTGCAGTTTTACTAACCCCTCAAAATAACTACCAAGAGACATCTTGATTACGCTTGGCACGGTTTTTAAGTTTGAATCTTATAAAAGACGTTTTGATTGATCCCCTATTAGTACTGTACAGGTGATAAAAAACTATGTACAGCTGTGAGTAGATGTTCTTACCGAGGCAGCAAACAAGAGATCCGTTAAATTCCACAGATCTGCAGCGTCATACTCCTACAAATAAAGGTCTCTCTCAATGAGAGATTTGTTCTCCAAACAAGTTGTCGATTTGCAACCGCAAAGCAATCATTATTAGTCCATATACAGATTCTTTTGAGTGCATCAGCTAATAGCTACATTGCGATAGCTAGATAGCAACCCCTTAGCCATCCACACTGGTNGATCTGCAGCGTCATACTCCTACAAATAAAGGTCTCTCTCAATGAGAGATTTGTTCTCCAAACAAGTTGTCCATTTGCAACCGCAAAGCAATCATTATTAGTCCATATACAGATTCTTTTGAGTGCATTAGCTAATAGCTACATTGCGATAGCTAGATAGCAACCCCTTAGCCATCCACACTGGTTTACTAGTTTCAGCTAAGCTAGCAAAACACTGAGATTTTGACTAAAAACAGACAAAGGACGCAAAAGATGCCACCAGAGAGCCACACGAAAAAGCCCATGGCATCAACATTGACAAAACAAATTGCAATATAATCACACTTTCAGACATCATATGATATACAGTGCCGGGTCATCTGATCACAAAAACAAACACTATTGAGAATTTTTGGCTAGTTGATCTGTTGCCATATATCAAAAGCAGTACTTGAAATCAGAAGGAAAAAAAAACAATTCAAGATGCAGTCCACACCAGCGTAACTGGAGATTTACCAGGAATTGAACAATTTCATTTTTCACAGGAGAGATGGGTACTGCTTGGCCTGCTGTCGAACCCTCTTCTTGTACTCGATAGCATCCTGCATAAGTTTTTGCATGATTCAGTATGTAACAGGTAGCATCAACTTCTATCCTACTACCTACAGAAGCAGCTTCTATGCCATTGGGGAAGCCTAAGGCAAGCAAGCAGCCACCTAAACCCAAATGTGAAATGATTTTTAAGAATTAGGGCTCACCATCTCATATGTGATAGGTCCCCTTTAGATTGCACTAAACAAGAAATTGACAATACTAAATTATTACCATGCAAAATAATTTTCACCTGACATGCAAATAAGTAATGTAACCGTCCAAAAACATAATGCAATACCTTTGCCAAAATCATTCAAGTCAAGACTTAAAAATTATCAAATTGCCCATGCTGTAGCCGTTTGAAAATAGTAAAAACTAACTGTTCTTTGTTCATCAAACCACCAGTCATATTTGATCACCCAGGCACTGCCTTCTATTGAATGCAAAAAAATGAAAATGGCAGATCCCTTATATGCCTTGGCATGCTCCAACATGATTGTGAGAAGACAAAACCAAACCATCCTCCCAACATTATGGAAATCTATGATATTAGAGTTTACAGGACAGGACTGTAAAAAGAGAGTTTTAGTTTCGAGAATAGCAGAATTACCTGGATGAATAGGTGATATCCTTCAGTTTGTGCAGGATCAGCGGGGTTCGGCTGGTCTAACAAATCTTGGNATTTCTTCCAATTTGCGAGTCTACGGTCCAGATTGGATCATAGGTTACTACGTACATTATTGTATGCTGGCGTGAAAACCACGCCAATTTGTCACGTGAAAATCGGTTGGTTGATTGCGACTTTTGCTTCTTCTTGGCGGGCCTTGGTTTTGGGCTGCCAGGTCTAGCCCCTGGGCTTGCAACTCATTGACCTGCCGAATGTGGACTTGTAGTAGTGGATTATTGAACCTTTAGAGAAGAAATGAATTTTTTAAATTAATAATATTATTTGACCTTAAATTATTAAGCTGATTTGTTATCTTGTTCATTGGTTGGTAGTGGGACCCATTAATTTCTGAGACCCACAGTCAATTTAATGACAATAATTTATTTTAATTCAACAAATTAAGGAAATTTTTTTAGCTCGAAGAAACATTTCTTTTGAAATGGAGAGATTATATTACCCATTGTCAANAATTTCTACCAATTTGCGAGGCTACGGTCCAGATTGGATCATAGGTTACTACGTACATTATTGTACGCTGGCGTGAAAACCACGCCAATTTGTCACGTGAAAATCGGTTGGTTGATTGCGACTTTTGCTTCTTCTTGGCGGGCCTTGGTTTTGGGCTGCCAGGTCTAGCCCCTGGGCTTGCAACTCATTGACCTGCCGAATGTGGACTTGTAGTAGTGGATTATTGAACCTTTAGAGAAGAAATGAATTTTTTAAATTAATAATATTATTTGACCTTAAATTATTAAGCTGATTTGTTATCTTGTTCATTGGTTGGTAGTGGGACCCATTAATTTCTGAGACCCACAGTCAATTTAATGACAATAATTTATTTTAATTCAACAAATTAAGGAAATTTTTTTAGCTCGAAGAAACATTTCTTTTGAAATGGAGAGATTATATTATCCATTGCCAAGGTAGCCCAAGCCCATTAGTCCATTAGTCCATCCATTTAAAAGTCCGATAGGTGATTTCTTGGAGTTAGATTTGTCAATTAAATTGTATTTTGATCTCAAAATTGTGATCAATTTCGAATTAGTTATATAGCTCTATGATAAAGTTAACTAATTATTTGATGAAATTCATATATTACACTTTAATTAAGTAATTCACATCAAATGTCCGTGAGATGTTTCAATAGGATTTGAAACAAAGTAAAATTCTATTTNAATTAATAATATTATTTGACCTTAAATTATTAAGCTGATTTGTTATCTTGTTCATTGGTTGGTAGTGGGACCCATTAATTTCTGAGACCCACAGTCAATTTAATGACAATAATTTATTTTAATTCAACAAATTAAGGAAATTTTTTTAGCTCGAAGAAACATTTCTTTTGAAATGGAGAGATTATATTACCCATTGTCAAGGTAGCTCAAGCCCATTAGTCCATTAGTCCATCCATTTAAAAGTCCGATAGGTGATTTCTTGGAGTTAGATTTGTCAATTAAATTGTATTTTGATCTCAAAATTGTGATCAATTTCGAATTAGTTATATAGCTCTATGATAAAGTTAACTAATTATTTGATGAAATTCATATATTACACTTTAATTAAGTAATTCACATCAAATGTCCGTGAGATGTTTCAATAGGATTTGAAACAAAGTAAAATTCTATTTACGTTCATGAAAAGATATTCAAATTTGATATATTGATAGGTCTAGTTGAAGTGGAATTTATTAAATGCTTTTTTGATTTTTAAAGCTTGCTTCGTTATAGCCAAAATAACTATAGTGAAAATTTACCAAAAGTTTATTTATTTTTTGTTAAGTAATAAAATTTCATTAAAGATGACAGGTCTTGACGCAACGATAAAATTGTTTTATTGTAATTTAAAAGTTACAGGTTCAATTCACAAAAACAACCTCCACTTGATAAGGTAATACTATTTATATTTAATCTTCTCCAAACTCCACAATGACAAAAATCTTGTACACTGAATACGTTTTTTTATCAAAATTCGAATAAGTACTTTTAAAACAACAATCTTAATGCACACATTAATTTGAGTGAGAGTGTCTTGAATTCTATAGAACATTGCAGACATAGCAAATCTGCTGAGCCTTGTAAAAGACCAATTATCCGCCATGATGAAGTCCTTAAGCTTTAGCCAATGTGATTAAATTCAAATATATAGTCCCATTGGACACATATATGCAAAACAGAAAATTACTTATGAGTATTTACTATATGCACCGCTTAACTTTCTCCTCTATCATCTTCAACACTTGCCACATTGCCGGCCTCTGTTCCGGTGAGGTCGAACTACAAATACCAGCTACCTCGACCAGCAGTCCGAGACAGTTAATGTCCTCACTATCATCTTCCCTCGTTGCTCTGACCCAATTTGGAAGATCACTGGGCTCGAGGATTGGATGCTGGGATGGAGGTTTACCCGTCAATATCTCTAGCAAGAGGATGCCAAAGGCATAGACATCCGACTTAAAAGTGGCCTGGCGGTTGGACTTGCGTATCTCGGGGGCTTTATAGCCTACTAAATCAGGATCATCGTTCGAAGTTGAATCTGCGAGGATGGCGAGGCAATAGTCTGCGAGACAGGCCTCAAAGTCAGGACCAAGGAGTACATTGGTGGATTTGAGGTTGCCATGGATGAGTTTTGATTTTTGGTGGATGAACACTAGGCCCATAGCCACATCTTCTGCTATCTTCAAGCATGATGTCCAGTGCAGAGGTTTTGTCCTTGCTGATCTCGAACCTGTCCATATTTATAAATCAATGATAAACCTACAATATCAGAGAATGATTTACCAGCCTAAATATGGATTTGTAGGCCATCTATGATACATTTTTCTCAATTTACATCAATAGTAGATCATTTATCGTGAATTAACTGCAGATGTCTCAGCCACTTTTTGCTTCGTTAAATAACAACTTACTCTAAAAACTCAAGTGTAAGATAAGAGTTCGTCTGACCTTTCTTGGGAGTCCTTTCTATGTGTTTCTATTGTGTAATTTGAGAAGAGCTCTTATGTCCGATTGAGGATAACATACGTGCTTATCTAATTTGCATAATCTGTCACACTACCAAAACGCTCCCCATNGTGTCCTTTCTATGTGTTTCTATTGTGTAATTTGAGAAGAGCTCTTATGTCCGATTGAGGACAACATACGTGCTTATCTAATTTGCATAATCTGTCACACTACCAAAACGCTCCCCATGACATTTATCGCGCCCCAAAAAAAAGCAGCTCCCCATGACTCACTTTATATTAGAATGTGACAATGCTATCCTAGTGTACATTTAGTATATTGACTCGGAGCTGAAACATTGATTCAAAATGAACAAGAAAGAAAATGTAGATGTTGTAAAAGAGAGAAAAAGAGCTCACCATGAAGGAGATTGAAGAGACTACCATTAGCCTGATAGTCATATATAATCAACTTCTCTTGTTTGGCCTGAAAATAAGCCCTAACCGCCACCAAATTCGGATGCCGAAGCCCTCCAACACCTTCCATGTGCCTTTCAAACCTCTCTCCACTCGTTATCTTAGTCTTACCAGCATCGAGCCTTTTGACACACACAATCAGTTGATAATCCATCACCGCCTTATATGTAGACCCAATCGTTCCTCTTCCTAGCAACTCCGCCGAAGCCTTCATTAGCTGCTCGAGAGTATACAGTTGCCTCTCACCGGCACAAAACACAAAGTTTCCGATCTTCTCCTGGAATTGAGGTACTTGTGGTTGTTTCTCTTTACCGTCTAACTCTGTATTCACATATTGTGTTGTGGTGTTTATAGCATTTGTATTTACTTTATACATTGTTGATTTTGAATCAAACTGATATCTTCGATTCTTGAGCAATGCAAAAAGACTAAGAATTCCTGCTATTAGAATTACAACTCCGATAACAAGCCCTAGAATTATACCGATTCTCTTGTGAGTTTTTGAAATCGAAGGAGAGAGGGCCGCCAATTGTCCCTGTGAATTTTGATTTAGCTGCTCAGGTGGCGAAGCGGCACTTGACGGCGATTCGGAGAAAGGCGAAGAACGGCATGGTTTGTTGATAATCTTACCACACACGTTGGGGTTATCGGTAAACGGAGACATGTCGAAGTGTGACAGAGTCGACGTCACTGGTATTGGTCCGGTAAGGTCGTTGTTAGACACATTGAAGACTTGGAGAAAAGATTGGTTGAGAGGAGGAATTGTGCCATTGAACCGGTTTGAGTCGAGCCGGAGATAGTTGAGCCGGTCCAAAACCGTTAGGTTCAAAGGGAGCGGACCAGTGAAGTTGTTGCGAGAGAGATCGAGAGCTCGGAGACGGTGAAGAAAAAGGAAAGAGAGAGGGAAAGTTCCAGAAAAAGAGTTGTGATCGAGGAAGAGTGTTTCGAGGTTGACGAGTGAGGAAAAGTCGGGAATCGGACCGGTGAGTGAGTTGTGGTTCAGACACAGGACTCGGAGCTGGTCGAGACGAGTCAACGTGCCGGCGGGGAAGGTTCCCCGGAGGCCAAAGCTTTGTAGGACGAAACGGAAAACTCGGCCTTGGACGCACTTGACGCCTTGCCATGAACAGTAATCGAATGGCTCGTTGTGTGTGTAGAGAAGTTTGTTGTCTAAGTCGGCTTTGAATTTAAACGATAGAATAGCGTCAGCGTCGGAGGGGAAAAGTAGGTTCACTGGAGGTGGTTCCGGCGACCAGTCAGTAGCGGAGACGGGGATGTGGGCGGTGGCAGGAAGAGAGAGAACTAGAGAGACGAGGAGGTAAAATAATTTTCTTGCTGACTGCATTGTTAATGGTCAAAGGGCGGGGAGGGAGGTGAGAGTAGCTTCTTGTTTGTGCTTCATTTAATTTATTTGGAATTCAGCCGGTCACCGGAGTTTGAGACGTTGATCCATCGGCTTCCGAGCTTGTAACAGAGTCAGTGTCATGAGGAAGTAGGAGGATTCTGTCTAGAAATTTAGCTTCCTCTTGCGGCAACCCAATATAGCGACCTTACACTTATCAATCTCTTCTATAAACTCTTCTTTCTTCCCTTGTGTTAATCCAAAAGAGTATAATAAGCTTCACTCAGTCCTACCAACTATGTGATAATAACTGTGATTGTAATAAATAGTAATAATTCGTAAAAATTTAAGAAGAATATTATTTATTGATAATTTTTTTCACATGTGTACGTAATTATTCGAATCTATTATATTTGAACTTTAATTAACCCAAAAAATNTAATTGTAATAAATAGTAATAATTCGTAAAAAATTAAGAAGAATATTATTTATTGATAATTTTTTTTCATATGTGTACGTAATTATTCGAATCTATTATATTTGAACTTTAATTAACCCAAAAAATTGAATTCGAAAAATTATATTTCGAAATAAAATTAATTAACCTCTGTGTGTTCACTATTATATTTGTAGATTTACCTTGCTCATTGTGCTGGATTTATATATTGTTGGTGAGGTTTTTGCTATCTTGGTGTTTGGATATGGGAATCTTTTGAGGCTGGCTTATTTATCTGTATTATGTTCTGTGGTATTTGAAAAAAATAATAATAATAATAATGTTTTCGACTTTGGAGAGAGAGAGAGAGAGAGTGAGTTATAGTTTAGGAAAATAGTAGGTGTGCTATTATTCTCAAAGCTGGATTTCTTTCCTTATTTTAATGCATTTGATCAAATGCATTCTTCCTTTAATTGTAGCCTGCCTGTAGGACTCACAGGATGCTCGCCCACTTCATTCTTGTGACAGTTANAAAAAATAATAATAATGTTTTCGACTTTGGAGAGAGTGAGTTATAGTTTAGGAAAATAGTAGGTGTGCTATTATTCTCAAAGCTGGATTTCTTTCCTTATTTTAATGCATTTGATCAAATGCATTCTTCCTTTAATTGTAGCCTGCCTGTAGGACTCACAGGATGCTCGCCCACTTCATTCTTGTGACAGTTACCAGTATATTATAGGTCAAGTTTTCTTGAATTTAGAGTGTATTGTACATCACCTTCGTCAAATATTACGAGTTGTACTTAATTTCTTCGTACCAAAAAATAAAGTGTCCCTCGTACCAAAAAATAAAGTGTAAAAATAACAGATTTTGTCTAATTTAATAGAACTTGAAACGCACGCATTACACAACGCAAGTGAAATAATTGTTTTTTAAAAATAAAAAAAATTAAATGGACAACTAAACCATAAACTTATTAAAAAATTAAAAAAAAAGGTCATAAACGGTAGTTGTCTCCCTCTGCAGCTCTATCTCTATCTCACCCCCTTCCAANGCATGCTCGCCCACTTCATTCTTGTGACAGTTAACCTGTATATTATAGGCCAAGTTTTCTTGAATTTAGGGTGTATTGTACGTCACATTCCTCAAATATTACGAGTTGTACTCAATCCTCTCGTACTAAAAAATAAAGTGTAAAAATAACAGATTTTGTCTAATTTAATAATAAACTTGAAACGCATACATTACACAACGCAAGTGAAATAATTGTTTTTTAAAATTAAAAAAAATTAAATGGACAACTAAACCATAAACTTATTAAAAAATTAAAAAAAAAAAAATCATAAACGGTAGTTGTCTCCCTCTGCAGCTCTATCTCTATCTCACCCCCTTCCAACACTTAATGTATCTGTAAACTGTAATCGTCGAATCGACAGACCTCCAACGGAACGATGCTGCNAACACTTAATGTATCTGTAAACTGTAATCGTCGAATCGACAGACCTCCAACGGAACGATGCTGCCTCTTAAATCAACTTCTGTAGCAATGTACAACTGAACTTAAGTTTTAGTCCTCTTAAGACAATGTACAACTAACCTCAAGTTTAAGTAAATTCTATGAAAAATAGTTTACAACGTGGAAAAAAAATTAGCTTTTCAGTAACTAAAATTTTTGAATGATTCAACCAAAAAAATTAGTTTATACCACTCAAAAGTCTTATATTAGTCACTTTTTATTTGAATTTTTTAAAGTAAGTTTTCATTTTTTGTTTTCACGAGAATGCTAAGACAGAATTGTGACGAGAAAAAGATGCAATTCTTGTGTATATGACATTTCCAAATCTTACTCAAAAGAATATGCATCTGATAAATTTAATTCCAAAACATCCGGATATCCCAAGAGATCANTTACTCAAAAGAATATGCATCTGATAAATTTAATTCCAAAACATCCGGATATCCCAAGAGATCAGTTGAAAGTGAGCATTACCAGGACGCATTTATCATGTCGATTAAAAGGTGGCCCTCTGTCGCTTACACTTTTAAGTGTAAGTTTTAAAATGGTTCTGTCAATCAAAAGAAAAAAAAGGCGGCCTCTGCAAATATTTTTGTTTGTTTTCCCAAAAATAAAAATAAAAAATGGAACATTTGATGAATTACTTGAATCGGATGAATTGAGCATAAGAATTCCATAAAGTAACATTTAATATTAAAAGACACGTGTTTTACTCAATTATTCCTAATTTTTTTGTACGTTACCGACATAGTTTTCTCCAAAGTCATGCATCTTGCATTTAAACTATAAACGCTAAAACCTGGAACCATGCAATTCAAATATTGGTTGCAACGTAGTAATCAAAATTCATCTTCAAAAAGATTTTTTTGTTTCACAAATTTTTAAATTATTTTGAAATTGTTCTGATTGATTTCGTTATTGTCTTTGCTTGTAAGTGGTGAAAACTCCTAAGAGTAGTATCTTCTTATCCGTTTTCTTAATACGGCACGCTTAGAATATGTGTCATTCC